TGAAGAAAATAATAAGAGGGAAAATATTCTGTATATTGAATTGTTCTGCTAAGTACAAGGAGTTTCTCCTTTATTTATAGGAGAGGATAAAGACCAAAACACAAAAGGAATTCTATTCCTACAAGGAAACAAATCACTAAATATGAACAAGGAAACAAATCAAGAGCAATCCCACTTAGAATGGGATTTGCTCTCCTTCTTGCCGTGTGGTCCAAGGAGCACCGCCCAACAACTACATCCGTTTCTCAAAAGAGTTCCTCTTTTGACTTTAGGGGAAAATAAGGAAGTGTTAAAGTGTAGTTGACTTTCCAATTTTGCCCTTGATGTGATAGGTAAAAGTAAGATGTGATAGTTTAGTTGTTAGTGAAAAAGTATGATGTGATAAGTAGGGTATGAAAAAGTAGGGGTAAAAGTGGTTTTTTAATAGAAAGGGAAAGTGTTTTAAGAAAAACAAAAAAATGAAAGAGGAAGGGTTTTAAGAAACGGAGGGAGTATATATATAGCCTGGCTAGCTAGCTACGTATATGTATGTGAGTGTGTGTGTGTAATGTGTGGGAAATAATACGTGGCATACCGGGCATTCCCGGGGAAATGAATTTGAAGTTTTACAGAACAATTCAACCGGTCGCAGCCGGGAAGATTACTCGAGAGGAAAAGGAGGTGCAGGTTCTTCGTCCGGGATGGGGGCCAAGCCGTATGAATCAGCATCGAAGTTCGGGTCCCGGTCAGCGAGGATCGCATAGGTGGCCTCCCAGTCTCTTTTTTGGCCCGACATGAAACCATAGGAGCCGATTTGGGTGATCATCTCCTTCCCATGGTCCTCCCGATACAGAAGCTTGAAGCCCTCCATCGTCCTCTCCTAAGAGGAAGTAAGCACCTGGGCGGCCTCTGCCAGGTTCTCCTCCATCCACTGTCTGGCCCGACCGGGCAGCTCTTGCTCCTTCACCCATGCCTCCTCCTTTAGGTGGGAGACCTCCCCCATCAGCAGCGTGTTCTCCTCTTTCAGCTGGAGGACCTCAGCGTTCACCCTACCGGCAACCGCCGAGAGGTTGGCCATCTCGTCAAGTTGCCGGGTTGTCAAGTCTTGAAGCTCCCGGTTCTGAGCTTCAAGCCTCTTCAATTTTTCCTAAAGCTGAAGTGACCGGGAAGGGGAGTCCTCGGCAAGCCTCTCCAAGGTTTCAGGCCCAACCTCACCCATCTGCAAAACGAAATGTACCGGTTAGTGCGACAGACAAGTAGCAAATTCAAGAAAATATACCGGGCGAATGTTACCTCTTTCAGCTTTCTTCCCATCTTGACCCAAAGCTCCTCTATCGACTCTAAAGCCGGGGCGTTTTCTCCCCTTCTCCTCTTCGCAGACGGATGGGTAGTGGCGGCATGCTTGGTCCGAACTTTTCCCTTCCCCTTGTCCAGGGGAGGGTTTGCCGTGGTCCTCCCGGTCTGACCGGTCTTCCTGGTCGGAGGAGACCCCTCGTCAGAATGGATCTCCACCGGTTCCTGTTGGACCGGTACAGTTTTGGGGGCGGCAGAGGAAGAACCACCGGTCTTCTTCGGGATGTTAAATGCTCTGAAGTTCATCTCTGTAAAACAAGCAAAAATATAAGTGCTTGAACTTGGACCGGTATAGTAAAAGGAAGAAGAAGGAAGAGGAAGGGAGGATACCTGGGTGACTGGAACCCCCAGCCTCCGCAGTGTTGCCCGGGGCGGGTACCCCGTGCCCCACTGCTTCATCAGCCTTGGGGGTACCCGTGCCACCCGGTGAGATCCTCCAAATCCAAGCCCCGTAATGGAACATTTGCCTGGTGAACGGGTCCCCTTGTAGAAGTTTCTCCAAACTTTCTTCCAAGTCTGGAGCGCTAGCCGGCTCAGTATATTGCGGTTTCAGGAGGTGATCGTTCCACTTTATGCCGGCCAAAGGAGAAACGGTGGGGAATTTTATAAAAACGAATTTTTCCTTCCACTGTCGGTTGCTTTGTGGAAGGTCAAAGATACATTGACGACCGTTACGGCCTTTGAAGTAAACGTAACCGTCACAACCCGATTTACCGGGAAGGACTTCAAACAAAAAGAGAAACAGACGGAGGGAGGGTTCGATCTTAAGCTCAACGCAGATGTTCACAAAGGCGTTAAGGAAGCGATGAGCATTGGGCGTAATTTGCCCGGGAAGAATTTTAAAGCAGTGGCATAAGTCAACCAAAAGGGGACGCAGGGGGAAGACGGTGCCAGTTTCCAAAGAAATGATATGGAAACCTACCCTATCATCCCGGTGAGGCTCGATAATGTTGGGCCAACTGGGGTCGTACTCAAGAACATACCCCTCCGTGAGATTCCTACGGGCTTTATTTTGAGCAATCTTAGAGACCCGGGGATAGATGTCAAGAGGGTAGCTAGTGGGGAGGGGAAGGTAACCGGCCGCTTCCAGCCAGTTCACCCATCCCTCATATGACTCATTGTCAGGGTCATAGGGGGTCGGCTCATCGTCAACCGGTTCATCCCTCTCCTGAAAAACCTGACCGGGCATTTGGTTAACCGGTTGCGGTTCAGGGGCGGTGGTGTTGGGAACCGACCGGTGTACAAAATCGGGTGAAGATGACCCGGTGGAGGAGGAAGAAGATGGGGATTCCTCGAATGCGTAGGCATCCGAGGCGGATATATCCTGACTGTCGGTGGAAGACATTTACCGGAAGGAAGAATGGAGAACAAACGGAAAGCTGAGGAAAAGAGAAGAGAGCTTACTTGGCTCGGAGGGCTGGAAGGCAGGAGAGAGGAGATTGACCGGTGAAACTCGGGAGACGCGCGAGGAAGAAGTGAGGAAGGCAATGGGGTTGGAAGCCTTTATATAGGCGAGGAGGAAGGAGAAGGAGGCGACGTGGCTTCACCAGGGCGCGCCGCGTCAGGCGGCGCCATCATTACGCCTGGGAAGACGAAAGGACGCGGGTCTGACGCCGTTCAGCAGGCCACACGTGTCAGAACGTATACTTTTTGAATTTTGAATTCAAATGTTTTGAGCGGGAGAGGCCGAAACTTCAAAATTTAAAGTCCTCTTTCAGATTTTTACTTCTCGCTTATGACACAATTGCATAACCGAGAAGTGGAGGGCTTATTGATGGGTGTATTTCACCCATGACCGGTCAAAGGTCAGAACCAGATAGTTGACCGGTCAAAGGGGTCAAACTTGAGAGAAAGATCCGTATCGTCGGCGGAGAGACGACGGGTCGAACGCAAAGTTGACCTGTATACTTCGGATAGTATACCGGTCAAATTACTCCATCATCTGGAACCAATTTCCGAAGTCAATTAATCAACCCACGATGACCAGCCGGGGCAGTTTTTCAAGATCGATGAGTGTCGGCAGGAAGGATCCAAAATGACTTGGACTATAGTGGTTGGCATTACCGGGGAACCAGTGGAGATGCTGGAGGAATATTTCCAAGCCAGAACGCGACAAGGGGGGTAATCCCCCTCGCAAGATGACAAGGTGGCTCAGGGACAGTCATCTCGCACCACATCAGCAGCATGCCCCCACGTGGGCGCACGTGGTCCTGTCCCCCCAGCTTAGTATATATTCCTCTTGTAACCCTGGAGGAAGGGGATCCGAATTCATTCTCTCTAAACTCCCTTGTAAAAGCACCCGTTCATTCTCCGTTATAGTATAAATTGGGCTACAGGTGTTCCACTAAAGTCCTACTGGTCAATCTGCGTGTTTTTACCTTTTTTACTTTGCCAAATCAAGCAAACTATTCTAGACCCGGTCTAGTATAGTTTGACCGGTCAAGTAATTTACACCATCAATATATATATATATATATATATATATATATATATATATATATATATATATATATATATATATATATATATATATATATATATATATATATATATAGACAACATTACTATATAAAACACAGAGATCATCATAATTATCATTTATCAAACTTTCCCTTTGGTTTAAAAAACTTTTCACAAAAGTTTTATACTCCGTATTTTCTATTGAAAGGAAAAAGAACCATGCTACAGTTACACCAAAAATTATACTCCATTTGTACCCCGCAGTTTTACACAAGCATTTTGATGGTATACACCGACACAAGTGTTGGTGCGTTAACAAAAATTTACACGGACACAAAGTGTTGGTGCATTAATAAAAATTAGTTTTACACCAACACAAAATGTTGGTGCAAACCTGCGGGGTACAACAACTTAGGGTACAAATAGCTTTATCCAAGGAAAAATCTAGATGTACCCTTGTGCACACCAGCCTTCTCACAGACATGTACGCGCAGACACCAACTCTTTGCATTGTGTTTTACGGTGTGTTAGAATGTATCCCACATCAAAAAACTCAAAAGATAATAATTGGTATACAAACTCTTGAATTGAATTAAATAAGTAATTGGATTCAATCTTTTAATATGATCCAACTTAAGTGTTTTATCAGTTCTTTTCTCATCCTAAGAATTTTTATCATGGTATCTATATGTGCTTGTGAAAAGGCGGGTGTATAATAGTAATAATCTACTGATCACATCAAGTTTACTTCACGAATATCAACACAATAACATTACTTCCTTAAATTCATTTAAAGTCAAAAGGCTAAGGAAAAACTTTGATACTCCCCTCCGCCCCAAAAATATGCTCTACTCGTTTAAACTTTGTTTACAAATTTGTATAAAAATAAAAAATGCAAATTACATAATTCAAAATCATATCAAAAGTTGTATAAACAAGCTAAAACGTGACAAAAATATTTTATTTTATCAAAATCTATAAAAACATACAAATAAAATAAGTTACCGAGAGATCAAAATATAGTAGTAATTGAAGCATTATTTATTTTTGGACAGGGGCAGTAAAACTTTCACCAAGAATCATTTAATTTGACATTGGGCACCGTTTGCATTGGGGATGAGGCATTAGAAGGTGAGAACTTATCAATTTTCCGAACCCAAACAACATATGTGTCCGATGTCATAATATGACATTAAGACCTAAAATAAAATTGCTCGAAAAATAAAATGAGACAAAAATATTCTCACCATTTTGTTATCAAATTGGTGATCAAAATATATATAGAAATGCCCTACTCCCTTTCTGATCCTAAGGGAAATTCTACTTAACTTTTTTTAGACAATTATATTACGTAAAATACAAAATGATTCGTAATATGAAAATAATTCGGAGTACAAAAATAAACGATGATTCAATCTCATGCTGCCATGCATAATTAGCCATTAACTAGTGATCAAGTAATTAATATACTGATGAATTTACATATAGTGCAATTAATTAAGTTACGGTACATTGTCCAAGGAGGGGAAATAATACGATGAGTACGTACTAATAAAACACATCCAATTCAAATTATTATTATAAGGTAATAATAATAATAATATAATTATAATTATAATATGATGATGAGGATTAATAATATAATTGTTCCACATTATAATGATAATTATAATTATAATTATAATTATAATTATGAATAGGTAATTATGAATCATGCTCGATTTCAGAAGCAGGCTCGTCCTCTTCATCAAAGCAATCAATGCCACAAGGGCAATGGCCATTGCCAAAGGCCCTAATGTGGTCCTTGAGGGACCTCTTGTGCTTGAAGTCCGAGCCGCAAGTGCAGTACCAGAGCTTCCCGCAGTTCTTCTCGTGGGTGCGCCAGTCCCCGCGGACCGCAAAGGCCTTACTGCACTTGCGGCACGTGAACGGCTTGATCCCGTGCTTCCTCTTGTAGTGGGTCTGGAGGGTCCGGAAGTCCTTGAGGGGCTTCGGCCGCGGGTGGTCGATGTTGTTCCTGCACCCCGGCGCGCAGCAGTAGCACGGCAACCTCAGCATTGCCGTCGGCTGCGTCCCCCTCAACGACTCCGGGCCCTTTCTGTACTGCGACCCGTGGCCCCACATGTGCATCTAATAATATTCATGCATCGTCATTAATTAGATGAAGACAAAATTTATTAATTTTGTAAGAGCTAGCTCGCAACATGATAGATAGATATGGCATAGGGCTAGTATAATACAATGATTTTAAATCCGGACCATCGGGGAGGACGGATCGCGGGTCAATCCGTATTTTTCCGAATCAACCCGGTGTTTTCCAAATTTTTCCAGGTTTCCGGGGGGGGGGGGGGGTTCGACCGGGCCGGTTGTGTGTTCGTGTCGAGGTTCGACCTGTCGAACCGTCCGATCAAGTCCGGGTTTAATAACACTGGTATCATACTCTCCCCATCTCATAAAACCGTTCATGTTTAAAAAAGATGCACCATTTATATGAGTGATTTGAGTGTTATTTACTAATTATGTCTCATCTATCCAATACATTTCATCATACTATGTTACGGGTATAAAATAAGGATAAATTAGAAAATAATACCAAAATTACTCATTTTATAAGTGCACTTTTTACAAAAAGGTACTCCGTATGTCTTAAAAATGATATTTGTACATTATCTTTTACATAATATTTTTCAATCTTTTTAGAGACATTACAAATATCCAGGACCGTTTTGTATTTGTGTTTATAAGATAGAGAGAAACAAATGTAATATACTCCAAACATGCTTCCAATTTCCAACCATATAATAAACACAAATTCATTCACATGCATTTTTTTGTGATATGTAATTGTCATAAAAGTACTTAAAAAATCACCAAGCAAGACTAAATAATGAAGTTGAACACAACATATTGAGTCACTTCTTGTATGTGTCTCACTTCGTTTCATTTACTATATTCCTTTCATTTCACAAAAGAAAAATTTGCACTAATCAGGACTAAAACATAAGTCATTTTCTAATGTATGAGTTAAAGTTTTTATTCTCTAAATAAGACTTAATAATGTCTAGTAGGAAGTATAATGCCCAGTGATGGTAGACATTTACTTGAATAATGACTAATGGATAATGACCAATGATCCTACATGGGAAAATAAAAACATATGGTCCTACATTGAGAAAATCATTATATTTTAGTCCTATTTAGGTAAATTTCTCTTCACAAAAAGTGTTTTTTATTTTAACTTTCACTTGTCAAGGACTTCACTAATTTTTCTATTTTGTAACTTTATAATAATCAAAGTTAGAATTTGGACAGATATCAGAAAATAAATAAGGGAAATTTACCTAAATAGCACTAAAACATAATGACTTTTCCTAAGTAGTATCATATTTGTTTTTTCCCAATGTAGCACTTTTAGTCATTATCCATTAATCATTATTCAAGTAAATGTTCACCATCAATGGTCATTGTTTTCTCTTTCTGGACTTTATTAAGTGTTATTTAGAGAAAAAAACAATTTAAATGTTATTTATGGAAATAACTTAAGTTTAAGTGATATTTAGCGCAAATATTTCAATAAATAAATGTGTCATGCTATATTTCTTAGTTACTAGTTAGGGTACCTCATATCACGCCAAAAGATTTCATATTTTCTTTTTTAAATAGATCAGTCTACCAAAAAGTAAAATTAAATTTATTTTAACAAGGTTGATGGATTCTAATAATTACTCTCATCCCAATTTAATTTTTTTAATTTGATTTTTAAAATATTAAAAAGATGTTGAGAATTGTTGAGTGGTGAAAAAATAAAATTTGATTCATACTTTTAAATAATTGTTTTTGAAAATGAATCATTTTTATTCATAGTTCATGATCATAGATCAAATTTAATTTTGAGGCTTATTAACAGAGAGAGAGAGAGTACTTCCTAATCCGTATGTTGCTATATATCTTTTCTAAATTGACAAATTTTCTTTGGCTTTTTTTAGCAGTCCAATTATGAAATGTATGCACATTAAATAATGTGTTCCCAACCTTCTTCTACTATTCTATTTACCAATTTACCCAAAAGACATAAATTTACCACGTTCTTCAATTCATAAGGCTCTATAGTTTACGGAGTAAACTTTAAACCCTAGATTCAAAACTCTGCCTAATTAATTAAACTCCAATAACAAATTAAATAATTAATGCCTCCATTGGAATGATTTTTTTTGTTTATAGTCAAATTTTAACCCCCTTTTTACTCATTATTTTGGTTACGTGTTTGATAAAATAATATAGTTACGTCACTTCTTATTTTGTACAACTCTTGAAATAATTTATACTCCCTCCGTTTGGAAAAAGACTTTCCACTTTGACTATAAGGAAAATAAGGAAGTATAAAATTATAGTTGACTTCCAATTTTGCCCTTGATGTGATAGGTAAAAGTAAGATGTGATGGATCTATTATTAGAGAAAAAGGTTAATGTGATAGGTAGGGTATGAAAAAGTAACAGTAAAAGTGGTTTTTTAATAGAAAAGGGAAGTGTTTTGATGGAAGTGGAAAAAATGAAAGAGGAAGTGTTTTTGAGAACGGATGTAGTATATATTTAAAATAAAAATAATTTTAATAAAACATTGTAAACAATTACATCAAGAGATCTACAAAAGTAGTTGTGGCAAGATTATATTATTTTATCAAATTTCTTAAAAATTTAGAGAGAAAAAAGTGAATGAAGTTTGATCATGTAAATAGTAAACAGGTAATTTAATTTCTTAGGGAAGAAATACTTTCTAAAACTGAAAAGGAAAAATCCACTGAAGGAGAAGGGTATCATGCACTCCACTTATTTTGCTCACTTCATTTTTTTTTGTCAATTAGTAGAGCCCATATAATATGAAAGAACACAAATTGTTTAAGTAACAATCCACTAATTGCACAATTTGTACTTTTATACTATTTAAAAATACTATTGATGATGGAAAGTCGGCAACATTGAAACAACAAACAAATTAGGGAATATGATTGGGTCAATTAAAAGTGTGTAAACAATGTAACTAAAAGTAGATGGTTTGAGGTAAATGAAAATTGTTACATTTCATAGTTTTTAAATTTCTTAATTTGTTTCATTTAAAAACTGTTATATAATAAAAATAAAACTTATATACTCCCTCCGTCCCTGAAAAGCTTTCTCCTTTCTTTTTTCATCCGTTCCAAAAAACACTTCTCATTTCTATTAAAAAGTCATTTTTTATCCTTTACTTTTTCATACTCTACCTATCACATCATATCTTTTTACTAATAATTTATCCATCAAATCATACTTTTATTCATCACATTAAAGGACATTTTTGGAAATTTAGTACCAAAATACACTCCCCTTAAATCCCTCTTCAAAATCAAAACTCCCATGTTTTTCGGGACGGAGGGAGTATTAAAAACTTATGTTGAAAATTCTAAAAGACAACATGTGACAAAAATATTTTATTTTATCGAAATGATCGATGACAACACAAAAATAAACAAAAATTCATGTAATTTCCAAAAACTAGTGTGACGATCTTTTGAGGATAGAGAGAGAGTACGGTATACTCCCTCCGTCCCAAATTATTTGTCACATTTCTATTACCGATGCAAAATATCAAGTTTTTTTCAATTCATTTTATTTACATATTGGTAAAAAATAAAAAATAAAAATTACATATCAAAAAACTACATGAAAAGTTCTTCGAAATAAGAGGTGTCAAGAATATTTTGTTTTATCAAATAACCAATGAAAACATAGAAATAAACAAAAGTTCCCGCGACTGTTGAAAAAGTAAATGTGACAAATAATTTGGGACGGCTAACGGGGTATTGTATCTGGATTTAGTGAGATTTAATTAGAAGTCGACGAAATCTAAAAGTGTAAGTGTATGTAATTTAGTTATTTTAAAATCCATATAAATCTAGGAATATTAAATTAAAATTTTTAGAAAAAATCATTTGTAAAAATCTAGACATATTCAATTAAGATTTTTTAAGAGTGAATAGCTTCTCTGAAATATTTTTAAAAGTCAAAATAGGAAAGAAATTTAAAATGGAGAGAATATAATAATAATCCGTATTAGAGTTCAAAAGTTGAGATCTCTGAAAATAATACTGCTCCGTACAAGACACAAATAAAGCTTATTACGATAGTCAAGAATCTTTTCAACTTCTCTTTGGCTTCCTTTTTTATTTTCATATTTTTCTTTTCTTTGTTGGAGTAAACTCCCTATGTCTACTTTCTTAAAAATACCCCCTCCGTCCCTAAATAAACTTCCATTTTTGACTTTTTGAGGATTTAAGGGAGGAATATTTTTGTGTTGACTTTCCAAAAATACCCTTGATGTGATATGTAAAAGTAAGATGAGGAATATTTTTGTGTTGACTTTCCAAAAATACCCTTGATGTGATATGTAAAAGTAAGATGTGATAGGTAGATTATTAGTAAAAAGGTATGATGTGATAGGTAGGGTATGAAAAAGTAAGGGGTAAAATGAGTTTTTTAAGGGAAAAGAGAAGTTTATTTGGGGACAAAGAAAAAACGAAAGAAGAAGTTTATTTAGGGACGGAGGGAGTAGAACATATATTTCTAAAATTTGTTTAGATAGGGAAAACATTTTGAGCCACATATTTATTTTTGTAAAATTAAATAAATAAATAAATAATATTTTTTGGATGTTCAGCAAGGAAAATACTGTGCAGATACAATTTCCGTTCCAAAAAAAATATAATGTCGCAGTTACTATTTTGGCTTCTCGTTAATTTTTGTTTATTAATTCGTTTTGGTTGACTTTTTGATAAAGTAAAATATTTTTGTCGAATCTTGTTTTATAAAACTTTCAATATATTTTTGAATGGATATTTTTACATTTTTATTCCTCTACTAATTTTTAAATAAAATAGTTTAAAAAGATGATATTTTTTTGAGCAATGCTAGGGGTACACCTTTTTTGGTGTACCCCATTTGTCCCACACCCTTTTATCCACCATTCAGTTTTGTTTTGTTTTTATTTATTTAATTTTGTTTTAGTTTCTTGCCTTTTGTGTGGTGATGGAGAGGGTGGGGGACAAATGGGATACACCTTTGGTGTACTCCTAGCATTTTTCTATTTTTTTTATAGA